TGCTGAGCTGCCCACAGAGCTTTGCATAGGCAAAAAATTTTCCTTCCCACAGCATACCAGGCTGTAAACTTTTCATATCCTTGTAAAAGTGGTTGTAGCTGCTTCTCTGGGCTTCTCCATCCCAGGGTGATGCCTGGAGCTGGGGGATGTGCCTGCTCTGTGGGGCAATGCCTGGAGGTGGGGGTTGAAGGTGCTGGGGGAGCAGGAACATGGTGCCTGCCCTGTGGGGCATGGAGGGAGGGAATGATCCCTGGGAGACCTGCCTGGAATGCGTGGGACCACAAGAGCAGCACCCTGGAGATGGCTGGGTGTCCCCCCACCCCCAGGATCTCATCCACGGTGAGGTCAAGGACACGTGTGTCCTTGTAAAGGCTGATGGGGTGACTTGAACACCAGAGCTGGTCCCTGCCACACCATGGAGTAACAATGGAGGGGAGAGGGGCTGCTTTGAGTGTGGAGCCCCATGGCCCAGGTGAGTCCTGCAGGCTCGGGTGCCTTTTTCACCCCTCCTGAAGCCCACCTGCAGTGGGTGCAGGGCAGCAGCTAGGGGTGCACACCAGCAGGGCCTCCCCTCCATGGGGCTGGGCAGCTCCAAGACCCTACAACCCATCACCTTCTCCTTCTTCTCTGTAGCTTGGGCTGGACATGGAGGAGCTGGAGGAAATCGAGGAGGATGCAGGTCTTGGCAATGGTGGTCTTGGCAGGCTTGCTGGTGAGTGAGCCCCCCTGAAAGGTCTTGTTGCCTTTGGAGCCTTCACACCCAATGTGTGTGTGGGGGGGTGCCCACACCCAGGGAGGTTCATTGCTCCAGCTTTTCCATGAATGGAGCAAGAGGCACGGGAGGGCTGGAGAGCTGGTGGCCATCGGCTCTCCACGGGGAGAAGGACCCACTGTCTCCTGGGGCTCCTGGCTCCCGGGCAGTGCAGCTCCATGCTCCCCTCTCTCCCTGGCAGCCTGCTTCCTCGACTCCATGGCCACGCTGGGGCTGGCAGCCTATGGCTACGGCATCCGCTACGAGTACGGCATCTTCAACCAGAAGATCCGGAATGGGTGGCAGGTATGGATGGAGGCCTGGGGACCTCACCTTCCCCAGCACAGCCCACACCCTGAGTCCAGCCTGCCTCTTAGACCAGGCCAAAATCAGGGAGTAACTCCCATAGCTGGAGTCAGAGCTGGTGCTGCAATACTTGAGCAGGTTGCCCAGGGAGGCTGTGAATGCCTTGGTCCTGGCAGTGTTGAAGGGCAGGTTGGATGGGGCTTGGAGCAACCTGGTCTAGGGGAAGGTGTCTCTGCCTGTGGCAGGGGGTTGCAACTAGATGATCTTTAAGGTCCCTCCCAATCCAAACCAGTTTGAGATTCTATGATATTTAAACCTTGTTCCCTCGAATAAGTTTAACCAACCCAGTGTCACAGTTCCCAGCAGAGCTCGGTGGGGTGGAGCAGATCTTCCACGTTCGTGAGCAAAGCCACGGAGCAGGCAAGGGTGGAGAAGTCCTGTCCCTGCTCCTGGCAGGGTGGGGATGGTACAGGGATGGTGTGGGGAAGTCCAGGGAAAGCCAGATCCAGCCCCATCATCCCTGCTCCAGCCCCTCAACCCTGGGATTTAAGCATCAAAGGGTGGAAGAGGCTGTTTTGGAGATGCAGTGTAAAATGTGGTGGGAGATGATCCTGCAGAGCCAACATTGAGAGCAGACAGACTCCAAAGCATCATCCCCTTTGCCACGAGCAGCCGGGGCCTCTCCCAGCCACCCTCCATGTGGCAGGACCCAGGGAGGTCCCCAGGGCTGGGTGTTCCCATCCCTGCTCTCCATCTCTCCTGCAGGTGGAAGAAGCTGACGACTGGCTCCGGCACGGAAACCCCTGGGAGAAGGCACGTCCCGAGTACATGCTGCCCGTCCACTTCTACGGCCGGGTGGAACACGGGCCCACCGGTGCCAAGTGGGTCGACACCCAGGTATGGGTTGGGGGTGTATCCCCCGGGGGGCTCCCCCTGGCTGGCTGCACCCTGGGCATGGGTCCTGCCAGCATCCCGGCTGGATTGCACCGGCAAGGCTGGTTCCCTGGGGTGGAAAAGGCAGTGGCTGGAGCAAACTGAGGAGGAGATGGATATGGGGATGGGGACAGATTTTGTCTGCAGGCAACCCAAAAGCACCTCCAGCGGGTCTGTGTGCTAGGATGGCTTAAGTTAAGCCTCTCCTGACCCTCACAAGCTTCTCTCCATCCCCTGAGCCACTGGGCAGACCCAGGGGAGAGCCAGGCTTGGTGGCATCTACCATGCGCATCCCCATACGTGCCACCCTCTGAAGGGGGATGCAACCCTGAGCTCACTGCTGTGGGAGGGTCTGGAAAAACATGGGGGGGTGCAACAGCAGCCCAGGCCCAGCTGCTGTGCCTGTGTCCCAGGTGGTGCTGGCCCTGCCCTATGACACCCCCGTGCCAGGGTACATGAACAACACCGTCAACACCATGCGCCTGTGGTCGGCTCGGGCACCCAACGACTTCAACCTGCAGGACTGTAAGTGGGTGCTGGGGGTGCTGAGGGGGGTGGGCCACCGGGGGTCCCCTGCACACCTCATTCCTCTGCTCCTCCCCAGTCAACGTTGGTGACTACATCCAGGCCGTGCTGGACAGGAACCTAGCGGAGAACATATCCCGTGTCCTCTACCCCAATGACAACGTGAGTGGGGATGGAGGGGGTGTCCCTGGTCTAGGGGTGGATAAAGGTTGAGGAGCAGTTCACATTTTTACAGAGAGGGACTTTATGTAAAAATGGAGTGATGGGACGAGGGGGAAGGGTTTCAAGTTGATAGAAGGGAGATTTAGATGAGACATGAGGAAGAAACTCTTTGCTGTGAGGGTGGTGAGACCCTGGCCCAGGTTGCCCAGAGAAGCTGTGGCTGCCCCCTCCCTGGCAGTGTTGAAGGGCAGGTTGGATGGGGCTTGGAGCAACCTGGGCTGGTGGGAGGTGTCCCTGCCCATGGCAGGGGGGTTGGAACTGGATGGTCTTTAAGGTCCCTTCCAACTCAAACCAGGCTGGGATTCTATGAAGCAGGTGTTACAGCCCCTGTGTATCCCCTCCCAGTGCCCTGATATCTTTCCTTGCAGCCAAGATTTTCAAGCCAAGAACAGGTTTTGATGATGCTTGGGGGGGTCTGGTGGTGGTGGATATAAACCTGGTTGTACCAGCACATCTCAGACCCCTCGTGCTGAAATCTGGAAAGTGAGAAGGTGTTTGGGGAGGTAGAGCTACAGGGGGGCAGCACTGGGGGCTCACGTCATGGTGTTCTGTGGACCTGTGCCGGTGTGGGGAGCTCCAGGAAGGTGCAGCTCTTCCTGAGCAATGTGGTGTGATCCTTCTGCTCCTCTGCACCCAGTTCTTCGAGGGGAAGGAGCTGCGGCTGAAGCAGGAGTACTTTGTGGTGGCTGCCACCCTCCAGGACATCATACGCCGCTTCAAAGCGTCCAAATTCGGGAGCACGGAGAGTGTCCGAACCGTGTTTGATTCCTTCCCCGACCAGGTATGAGCCAGGGTTCCTCTGCCACGTGCCTCAGAGCTCATTTCGATGCCTCCCAGATGCCCAGCCGTGTCCCACCCCGTGTCCCCACGTGCCACCCCTGCTCTCCCCAGGTGGCCATCCAGCTGAACGACACGCACCCCGCCATGGCCATCCCTGAACTGATGAGGATTTTTGTGGATATCGAGAAGCTACCATGGACCAAGGTAGGAAGAACCTGACCTGGCCCCAGGTCCCCTCCACTTGCACCCACCCACCACCAGGGAGCTGAGGAACCAGTTTTTTAGCTGCGGGTGGCCTGGGGATTGATGTGGAGCAGTCAGGTTGGGTTTAACCAGTATGGATTTGGAGGAGCTGGCTCAGCCACGCTGGCGGTCGTTGTGGGAGGACTACGTGTGGGTGCTGGCACCCACCTGGAGCTGCCTCCACCCTCACCACCAGCTCTTGCCCTGGCAGGCCTGGGACATCACCAAGCGAACCTTTGCTTACACCAACCACACGGTGCTCCCCGAAGCCCTGGAGCGCTGGCCAGTGGACCTGGTGGAGAAGCTGCTCCCCAGACACCTGCAGATCATCTACGAGATCAACCAGAGGCATCTGGATGTAAGTGCCTTGGGCAGCGTGGGAGTTCTCACCAGAGAGGGGGACAGGGGTGGCATACATTGTGCAGTTGGGATTAGAGGAGGCACAACCCTGTGATGTTGGGTGTGTGGCCAGGTGGCTCTGACTGGTATTTTGGGAGGCTTGTGTCTAGGAAAGCCCGTCCCACCAGTCTGTCACCATCCCGCAGCCAGTGGTTTTGGCCCAAAAACTGGCCATGCATGTTCCCAGAAGCCACTCTCCATGGGATGTTGAGGACGGGGCTTTGGCCCCCTCCTCGGGACCCGCTGGGTGGGACACCCAAAAGCTAGCACTGCTCACCTCCTCTCCCACCTCCACCGGCAGCACATCGCATCCCTCTTCCCCAACGACGTGGACCGGCTGCGGAGGATGTCCCTGATCGAGGAGGAAGGCACCAAGAGGATCAACATGGCCCATCTCTGCATCGTCGGCTCCCACGCTGTCAATGGCGTGGCCAAGATCCACTCCGAGATAGTCAAGACTCAAGTGTAAAGCCCAGGGAGGGGGAGGTGGTGGTGGATCAGCCTCGGCTTGGCGGCAGCGGTGGTGCCAGGGGGGTGAGCCTGAGGGTGTCCTCTCCTTGTCCTCACAGCTTCAAGGACTTTGCGGCGCTGGAGCCGGAGAAGTTTCAGAACAAGACCAACGGCATCACCCCGCGGCGCTGGCTCCTGCTCTGCAACCCGGGGCTGGCCGAGCTCATCGCTGAGGTAACAGCACAACCTCCCACCCTTCCCACACCTGAGGGGTGCTCCTCAAACCTCAGCCATCTACAGCTTTTAAATCAAGCACAGGATGGTTGGGGTTGGAAGGGACATCATACAGTCCCACCCCCTGCATGGGCAGGGACACCTCCCACCAGCCCAGGCTGCTCCAAGCCCCATCCAACCTGCCCTTCAACACTGCCAGGGATGGGGCAGCCACAGCTTCTCTGTGCAGCCTGGGCCGGGGTCTCACCACCCTCACAGCAAAGAATTTCATACTCATGTCTCATCTTAATCTCCCCTCTTCAAATTTAAATCCATTCCCCCTTGTCCTCTCCCTCCCTGCCCTTGTCCCAAGCCCCTCCCCAGCTTTCCTGGAGCCCCTTCAGGCACTGGAAGCTGCTCTAAGTTCTCCCTGGAGCCTTCTCTTCTCCAGGCTGAACACCCCAACTCCCTCAGCCTATGTCTAAAGCAGAGCTGCTCCAGCCCAAGGATCACCTTCCTTTTTGAAAGGAAGAGGGGCAGGTCTCACTGCTGGTGCAGAGCAGGCCCAAGCATGGTGAGATCAGGGCTGGATAAACAGCCTCTTCTGAAAGTACTCCTTAAATCACCTCTTCTTTTTTCCTCCTGCAATGTTCTAGATCAAACCCAAAGCCTGAGCCTATGTGCGGGACCTGAGCCAGCTGACAAAGCTGCACGAGTTTGTGGATGACGACCTCTTCATCCGGGAGGTTGCTAAAGTGAAGCAGGTGAGGGGTGGGGGCAGAGGGGACAAGGCAGGGGAGGCCAGACTGGGGGCTGACGTTCTCCTTGCCCCTCACCCAAGGAGAACAAGGTGAAGTTCGCGCTGTACCTGGAGAAGGAGTACAAAGTGAAGATCAACCCTTCCTCCATGTTCGACGTGCACGTGAAGAGGATCCATGAGTACAAGA